AGGGCTCTGGGATCCCCGCCTATCAGCCCCTTCCCTTCTCACACATAGGACTAATGCAGAACTTTTTCTTTTTTTCCTTCTTTTTTTTTTTTTTGACAGGCAGAGTTAGACAGTGAGAGAGAGAGACAGAGAGAAAGGTCTTCCTTCTGTTGGTTCACCCCCAAATGGCCACCATGGCTGGTGCTGTGCCGATCTGAAGCCAGGAGCCAGGTGCTTCCTCCTGGTCTCCCATGAGGGTGCAGGGCCCAAGCACTTGGGCCATCCTCCACTGCACTCCCGGGCCACAGCAGAGAGCTGGACTGGAAGAGGAGCAACCGGGACAGAATCCGGAGCCCCAACTGGGACTAGAATCTGGGGTACTGGCGCCACAGGCAGAGGATTAGCCAAGTGAGCCATGGCGCCGGCCAAAACTTTTTAATTTGTTTTATTTATTTGAAAGGCAGAGTAATGGCGAGAGAGGGAAGAGACAGAGAGAGGGGTCTTCCATCCACTAGTTCACTCCCCTAAATAGCTGAAACAGCCAGGGCTGGGCCAAGCTGAAGCCAGGAGTCAGGAACTTCATCCGGGTCTCTCATGTGGGTGCAGGGGCCCAAGCACTTGGGTCATCTTTCCCAGGCACATTAGCAGGGAGCTGATAAGTGGAGCAGCTGGGACTCAAACAGCACCCATATGGAATGCAGGCACTGCAGGCGCTGGCTTTACCTGCTATGCCATAGCGCCGGCCCCCAGAACTTTCTCTTCTGTATCTGCTCAACATTTGGACTTCTCTCTAGGTTTTTTTTTTTGTTTGTTTTTAAAAGATTTATTTATTTGAAAGGAAGAGTGACAGAGATCTTGCACCTGCTGGTTCACTCCACAAATGACTGCACAGCCAGGGCCAGGCTAGGCCAAAGCCAGGAGACAGGAAATCCATTGGGGTGTCCTGCATGGGTGGCCCAACCACTTGGGCCATTACCTGCCGTCTCCCAGGAAGCATTAACAGGGAGCTGGAGCAGACGCTGGATTCTTGGGCCCCTGCACCCATGTGGGAGAGTCTACAGAAGCTCCTGGCTTCAGTTTAATCCAGCCCCAGCAGTTGTGGCTGTTTGGGGAATGAATCAGTGGATGGAAGATCTCTCTCTCTCTCTCTCTGTAACTCTGCCTTTGAAATAAAATAAACTTTCAAAAAAAAGAAAAAAAAAATACAGAGTGCTGGGACTCAAGCCGACACTCCACATGGAATGGATGCGGGATGTGAGTCCTGGGCAGCTGAGCTGTGCTCAGTGCCGTGTGCTCTGCCCAGAGCTGCACTGGAGGCCGGTATCTCACTGGTGGCTGCCCAACGCCCCAGGGAGGCTTACAGGCAGGTCCCTCCCTCCTCCACCTGCCGGCCTCCCTGCCCCTTGCCCTCCTCCCCCTGGGAAACCTTGGTCCACGCCCTTCAGGTAGCAAGTTCCTATTTGTCCTTCAATGCTCAGCCCAAACCTCAGTCCCCAAGACTTCGGTCAGGGACTTGCCGTCCTCACCTCCATCATCCATGGGACAGCACGGGCAATGGGCGCTGCACCCTGCCAGGCGGCAGGGCCCTGTAGGCAGGGGCGGCACATGCCACCTGCTCTGATCACAGACGTCTATGGCCGCCCTGCCGTGAGGGTCCGGGCAGATGTCCTGAGTCGCTTTTCTCTAAATTTCTGATATGCACAGGGTGATGAGCATACTTAGGCCAGCAGTCATCCAAGAGCTGATCCTGGATCAGGATCCCTGTGGACAGGGGCTGGTCTCACAGCCTTCCTTCTCCCTTCCCTGGGACTGCATCTTCCTTCCTGGGCAGATGGCCAGTAGCCTGCGTGAGACTCAGGAAACCAACAGTCTCTGGGATGGGGACTGGCCCATGGCAGGAGCAGGAGCCCAAGTGCCAAGTCTGGTGGTGAACAGGAGCGGTCGAGCCACCTACAGTCGCCGTGGAGAGCTAGACCCAGGGAGAGAGGCAACTGAGCCCATGCCTGGGTGCTCCTCTTTGAGGGGCACTAAAACACTGGAACGAACTGGACACAGCACTGAGCACGGGGGCTTGGCACACAGCCTGGAGTTACCGAATGCAGCCAGGCCTGCTCCCACCAGAGTCAATGGGGCCTAAAAAGAAAGAAATGTCCTTGCTGGTGTGGACTTTTTTTTTTTTAATAAGATATATTTATTTATTTGAAAGGCAGAGAGAGAGCGAGCGCTTCCATCTGCTAGTTCACTCCCCAAACAGCCAGGCCTGGGCCAGGAGCCTGGGCTTCATCCAGGCCTCCCACCTGGGAGTACTTGAGCCATCTCTACTGCCTTCCCAGGCGCATCAGCAAGGCGACGGACTGGAAGTGGAGCAGCTGGGACTTGACGGGAGCTCATCTGGGACGTCAGCGCTGCAGGTGGCAGCTCAACCCGCTGTGCCACATGCTGGCCCCTGGACAATTCCTGTGGAGTCCCAGCAAGGCCTAGGGGCAGGCTCTCCTCCCTCCTCCGCCAGCCAACCACGTCCCTCCCAAGTCCTCCTTCCACGCCTCTCTCGGGTCACCGCCGGGCCTTCCAGATGCTAACGCAAGTTTCACTCTGCAACTCGGATTCTGAAACGGAAACTGCAGGGCACGTGCCCTCGGACCAGGAGGGGTTATCTTACCTAAACTAGATCTAGGCTCTTCAGCATACTTCCAGTAAGCTGTGTCATCTGGGTATTATGAAAACGAACACTTCAAAACACCTAGCCCCTGTCTACGGAGCACAATGGTGCCAGCCCGGGTCAAGCACGCCACTCACTTCCTGTCACCCTGGGGCCAGGAAAGCCTGTCCTCAGACTGATTTAGACTGCCTTCAATCTTGACTTCACTGCAGGGGCTCACAGGGAAGTCTGCAGCCGAGCCTGGTTTCTCATGTCTAATGGGATAAGACGCGAGAATGCAGACATGCTGTAAGTGGCCACACCACAGCTATTTGCTCAGCAAGTGACATGGGGCTCACCACCACTAACAGTAAGAGGGCACTTCAAACAGCTCCTGGAGGGCTGGGGGTTTGGCACAGGGGTTAAGTTGCCATTTGGGATACCTGCATCCCATGAGTGCCTGGGTCCCATGGGAGACCTGTAGTACATTCTGGGCTCCTTGCCTTGGCCTGGCCCAGCTCTGGCTAGTGTGGGCATTTGGGAAGTAAACTGGTGAATGGAAGACCTTTCAAAAATTTTTCATAATTAAAAAAAAAAAAAGAAAGAAAATAAGTTTATTTTAATGCAAAAATTTTTTTTTAAATATTTGAAAGGCAAAAAGTGATGGAGAAAGGGATAGACAGCTTCCATCTACTGGGTCGCTCCCCAGATGCCCTCTACAGTGGGGGCTGGGATAGAAAGCAGATAGAACTCGATCCCAGCACTCTGATGTTGGATGCAGGCGTCCCAAGCTGTGGCTTAATCCTCTGTGCCACAACACCCCAGTACAAAAAAATTGAAATCTAATGTAGATCAGGCAGTCTTCAAAAAGGTCATGAAAAACGTGTATTATGGGAAAATTATGCAGGATTTCAAAAATTTCTTGCAGCAAAATAATCTTTGAATCCCATTTTCCCAGGAACATTTCGAAGTCTCCCCCTAACCTTCACTGTGAGGAGGAAGGTGCTATCCCCACTCCTAGAGCCCATGGGAAGTGAATTTCCTGCACAGCCCTGATGTCAGGGGCGTCTGTTCTGGAAACGGCTGTGGGTCCCCACTGTCAACTTCAGGGATTTGGACCTTGGCATTTTCTTCACAAAGTCACACAAATCGCATCCCATACTCAGCACTGCCCATGACAGATTCCAGTGTGCAGAACACGCCCACTGGCTGTAAACTCCTGCAAGACCTCTGACTCACTCAGCTTGGGCTTCTCGTTCTTGTGCCATTAGACGACAGCCCAATCTAACCAGAGAGGGTGACCAGGCTGAAACCACGCCCATCCCAGGAAAAAGCCCCCAGTGCCTCCTGTTCCGTGTCCCGCTGAAGGGTAATGAGCACAGCTTAACCCACTTCGCTCTGCAGGCTTCTGCCCAGGGACCAGTCTCTAATTAGACTCCTGCGCTCACCAGGGGCATCTTTATTTGCAGTAATGAAACGGGGACAGAGCATCGCCTCCCAGCCCCGAGCCGAGCCTTTCACAACGCTCCCTGATGGCAGTGGGAGTCAGCGCCGCGGCAGAGTTACAGACAGCACCCAAGTGACAAAAGTTACGTTTAATTTACATGTAATAAAGGTTACAGGTAAAAAGCTACACATAAAGCGTGAAAAGGCCTATTACACAAATGTACAAATCTCTGTACAAAGCTCATCTTGACGTTTCCTACCTCTGTCTCCTATGTTTGTTAGCCAGGTCTAGTCTTGGAGCTCTGAAGAACGAGAGCTCTCAATCTGGAGGGGGGCGGGGGAGGGAGCCTGCAAACCAACAGCTACAACAGCGACTGCCAAGTGAAACCTTCCCCTTTGCAGTCTGAGTCGCCCTAACTGGTCGTATCCTTTAAGAATCGCCTTCATGGCACACCTACAGAGGAAAGAGGGCAGTACTCAGGAATTAAATGGAGTGCTCAGATTTGACAAGAAAACAGATAAAGTTCAAACAATACTGCACAGTAAAAACTATAATGGCACCAAGGTCCAATGGCACCAAGCACGGATGAAGGAAAGGCAGAGTGTCTTCATGTAACAGAAAGCACAAAGGAGAAAAGCCCATTGGACCTCAGAACCGCTGACCCAGGAGACATTTTGGAGTTGCAACCCTAGCTCAGCTGAACAGCTCTCAACCCTAGCTCAGCTGAACAGCTCTCAACTCTTGCTGATGGACCCGGGATCCACAGCAACCCTTTCGTAACTAGGCTGCTGGACCCCAGGGCTGGGGGCCCCTGGATCAATCTGAGAGCCTGGAGCCTCCCCGGGTATGTGACTTAACATAGAGCCTCCCCGGGTATGTGACTTAACATAAAAATGATCCTAGAAAGAAGAGAGAGGGAGGAGGAGGCAACGAAGGCAAAGGACACAGTAAGCTCTCTCTACGCCGGGTTCCAAAGACAGGTCTTTAGGGGACATTTCCACCCACCCCTACTTTTAATTTACATGGTTAGGACCCCAGGAGACATCCTGAAAGACGATACTGCACACATGGAAAGTTTTCTCCCTAGTTCATTAGCTCCCCAACACCCTTCCACCCCATTCCCACCCAGCCCCACCCTTTTCCATGACCAAAAATATCAAATCAGTAAGGAAGGTGTGGGCTTCTTGCCCGGCCAAGCCTCTTTTGCATATTTCTTCTTCTTGGGTTCATTTACAGCTTCAGGGTTATAGACCACAGGGTTTGGTGCAGGGTTCATGTTCACTGCTGACGGCACGACGGGAGTCAAGTCCACATCAGGGGCGAGGTTCGGGTAGGGCATGGGCAAGCCCCCAATGAGTGCTGTCCCATGGATGCCATGTGGCTGGGAGCCTGCTTCACTGTGTGTGGGGGGCAGGCCCCCGTAGAGTCCACCGCTGAAGGCAAAGTTCTGCATGCGTCTGCTCCCTGACTCCTCCAGGCCCAGGGAGCCAGGGCCATCCACACGCTTCTTCTGTGGTTTGCAATGAGAGGGAAGAGAATAGAGAGAAGAAAGAGGTGAGGCACACGAGAGAGGGCTCCCATCTGCTCGGCCCACAGGGCCTAGGGCTTGCACAGGCCAAAGCTGGGAGCCAAGGACCCAATCCAGCTCTCCCAAGTAGGTGATGGGGACACAATCACTTGGGTCATATTTGCTGCCAGACAGGGTGTGCATTATTATAGAAGCTGGAGTCGAGTCGAGAACAGAACTGGGCCTTAACCCCAGGCATGCCCATCTGGTGTGCAGCCTCTTAACTAGGCCAAATGCTGTCCCAACATATTCAACTTAAATCACTATTTTCTACTCCAAGTCATATCGCTCTTTCTCTTATTTTGATGTTCAAATGCCCTTTTAGGAAACAGAAGTGATATTATTTTTGGGAAAAGTAAATGTGGGCATTTCCCTATTAGGTAGCCACTTTTTAAACATTAACCTGAGGCCAGCACTGCAGCTCACTATGCTAATCCTCTGCCTGTGGCGCCGGCACACTGGGTTCTAGTCCCGGTTGGGTCACCTGATTCTGTCCTGGTTGCCCCTCTTCCAGGCCAGCTCTCTGCTGTGGCCTGGGAGTGCAGTAGAGGATGGCCCAAGTGCTTGGGCCCTGCACCCGCATGGGAGACCAGGAGGAAGCACCTAGCTCCTGGCTTCGGATCAGCGCAGTGCGCTGGCCATGGCGGCTATTGGAGAGTGAACCAACGGCAAAGGAAGACCTTTCTCTCTGTCTCTCTCTCTCTCACTGTCCACTCTGCATGTCAAATAAATAAATAAATAAATAAATAAACAAACATTAACCTGAGAGCAAAAGAAATGTATAGAGAAGCAGTTTCCTGGTTGCTAGGGGCTGACAGTGGAAAGAGACTGGCTGCAAAGGGACATGGAAGGGCTTTATTTGGGGAGGCACCTGCTGCTTCACTCCCCAAGTGCCCACGACAACCAGGGTTGGGCCAGGGCTGAGGCCGGAAGCCAGCAACTCAATCCATGCCTCCTGCATGGGGAGCAGGGACCCAATTACTTGAGCCATCACCACTGCCTCTCAGGGTCTATATAGCAGGAAAATGAAGCCAGACATCGAGCTCAGATACTCCAAGATGGGAGGCAGGCATGTTACCTGCCAGGCTAAACATCCAGTCTAGAGAGAACGTTTTGAGGTGATGCAATTTCCTACACTTGATGATGGTGGTTACACAGAGGTGCACTCTGTCAAAACTCAAACCACACACTAAAATGTGTGCACGTTGTTATATGTAAATTATACAATAAGACTGCCATAAAAGGAAAAATATCTGATGATTTTGATTTTTAATGACAATAGAAAAATGCAAAGGTGGAACAAAGACTGAAGAGAAAAGAGTTTAAGGGGAAATGAGACAAACATGATGGAGTCCCGCAGAAAAACATCCATCTTTACCCACTGCTCCAAAGCCCAGGATCTCCTCCTCACTCTACTCTTCTGGAGTAAACTAAGGCTGCCTGAGATGCTGATCTGTCTGACCAAGGCAGTCTGACCCACAGCTGCATTCTGTATCTATGGTTCTGTGGATTTGAACAACTATGGGTCAAGCATATTTGGAAAAAGAAAACGTGTATGTATTGAACATGGGCATTTTTCCTTGTAATTCCCTAAACACAAAGTAAAACAGCCACTGAGCTGGTACTTACATTGTAATTGGGTATTTTAAGTAACTCAGAGATGATTTAAAGTATATTAGAAGATGTGCATATCTTATATACAAATACTATTCTATTATATATAAGGGACTTGAGTATTCACAGATTCTGGTATTCACAGGGGTCCTAGAACCTACTCCTCCTGGTTACTGAGGGACAACTCTTGTCTGAAGATTTTCAAGTTAAAACTTGATAACATCTTGGATGAGCATCTTCTGATCATTTTTTTTTAAAGACTTATTTATTTATTTGAAAGTCAGAGTTACACACAGAGAGAGAGAGAGCGGAGAGATCGAGGGAGAGAGAGAGAGAGAGAGAGAGAGAGAGAGAGAGAGAGAGAGTCTTCCATCCGATGTTTCACTCTCCAATTGGCTGCAACGGCTGGAGCTGTGCCGATCCGAAGCCAGGAACAAGGAGCATCTTCCAGGTCTCTCACATGGGTGCAGGGGCCCAAAGGCTTAGGCCATCTTCTACTGCTTTCCCAGGCCATAGCAGAGAGCTGGATCAGAAGTGGAGCAGCTGGGACTCGAACCGGCACCTGTATGGGATGCTGGCACTGCAGATGGTGGTTTTACCCCCTACACCACAACACTGTCCTCCTATTACTTTCTGAGTACCTGTATTAACAAGAGATCTCACCACTCCAGGGGACAGTTTGTTCTTCTTGGGACGGTTCTACCTGCCCTTTACATGCAGGGCAAGCACAGCATAATCTGTAACTTGCACCTCCCTATCTTCAGCACACCTGATCTTTAGGCTATTCCAGACCTGGGCTGACCTTCCTGCCTGTATCATTCTCATACACAAAATTATGGCACGGGGGGCCAGTGTTGTGGCGCAGCAGGTTAAGCCACTGCCAGAGAAGCCAGCATCCCATATGGGTACCAGTTCAATTCCAGCTGCTCCACTTTTGATCCAGCTCCCTGCTATTGTGCCTGGGAAAGCAGCAGAGAATGGCTCAAGTGCTTAGGTCCCTGCACCCACGTGGGAGACCTGGATGAAGTTCTTGGCTCCTGGCTTTGGCTTGGCCCAGCCCTAGCTGTTGTCATCTGGGGAGTGAACTGGCAGATGCAGGATTTCTCTCTGTAACTCTGACTTTCAAATAAATCTTTCAACCACAAAACAAAACAAGACACAAAAACAAAACCAAGATAAAGCTGTGGACAAAGCCACAGGCATCACACAGCACTGCAGTAATGCACACCCTCACCTAGAAGCTTTCCTTGAGCCAGAAGGGAAAGGCCAAAGCAAGGCGGGACTTTACATCCTTCTGGAGGCTATTTTGTCAGACACATATGAACATAACTGACACGTAGCATTGAGTTACCTGGTGATGTGTAGCCTTTTTGTGGTGCTCTAGGAATCCCTAGGCACAGATGGAGTAAAAGTATCTCTGGAGCCAGCGCTGTGGCGTAGCAGGTAAGGCTGCCACCTGAAGCGCTGACATCCCATATGGGGGCCAGTTCTAGTCCCGGCTGCTCCTCTTTCCATCCAGCTCTCTGCTATGGCCTGGGAAAGCAGAAGATGGCCCAAGCACTTGTGCCCCCACTATCTATGTGGGAGACCTGGAAGAAATTTCTGGCCTGGCTTCAGCCTGGCACAGCCCTGGCCATTGCAGCCATCTGGGGAGTGAACCAGCGGATGGAAGATCTCTCTCTCTCTCTCTCTCTCTAGTGAACCAGTGGATGGAAGATATCTCTCTCTCTCTCTCTCTCTCTCTCTGCCTCTTTCTCTCTCTGTGTAACTGACTTTTAAATAAATAAATAAATCTTAAAAAAAAAAAGTATCTCCACAGAATGAACAAGGAACACAGAATGTGTGTGAAATGTAAGCACTCATTTAACACCTACACAACAAAGGGAGAATGTTAAAGCCCAGACAGTATGGCATTTCGAGGTGTTCCACGTGCTTCTTACCTTGACTGGGACCACTGCTGTTTGCACCATGTTCCGGAAGCGACCAACTGAGGGATCCACATCCTCTGCAAAAAGAGGTGAGGGCAGGGTCGGGTTGGCACTCTCCTGGGAGGAGTGGCACAGGACTCACTGCCATCACCACCAGGAGCTAAAACCTCACAACTCTGGGAGGCGGGCACCTCTACGATAAACATTTAGTTGTCAAGAACGCTTGGAGAAGTGACTGGCTACTAAACATTCACTGTGCCAGAACTCTATTCCAAGCAGCCAGAAATGGGCCTGTGCTGTGCTGCCTTCCTCAAGTTCTTTCCCATTCCATACGCTTCCCTCTTTCAGCGAGAAAAGAGCAGACATTATCAACCCCATGCTAGCGATAAAACACTGACAGGTCAAGAGGTCACACACTGCACAGCTTGCTGATGTCTGTTTCTTTGCAACTAACGGGTTTAGGACTCAGATTCAGGCCTTCAAACTTAGCCTGGCCCTTTTGACCTGAGTAAGCTGACCTGTTTGCAGTCAAGACTTCTGCCCAGGTAGGATGGGACAGCAGTTCCCCTTCCACACCTTCCACACCATCACTGTACCCTATGAAGCATCCAGCTCTGCAAGGAGAAAGCATGAGGCCCAAGTAACAACTTGCTTTTCAGTTCCTCTCTCATGCCTCATTTATCAACACCAGGCATGGAAATGAAGAGTGAGGCACTGTCCCGCCTTTGAGGGGTTCCCAGTCACGGAGCTGGACTGCTGCTTCAAGAGAGTGCAATGGCGTCCCTGGGCACAGAGCAAACAGCTGGGGAGGGAAACCGGCAGGCACAGACCTCTTACCACTGCTACAACTAACTACTCCAAGCCCCTTTAGCTTACTACGCAGTAAAGAAGTAACTGTTGAACATCTCATCTTTTAATGAAGTTTAACTACTGAAAAAAAACACTACCTTTGGAAAACAGGGAATCCCTGAATTTGGGTAATTACTCCCTGGTTTGTTTAAGTCTGGCTTTTCATATATTTAAAATGTCTCCAAAGAATATACCCTGGAATTCTGTTCACAACCAATGTTTGCTCAATGAACAAACGGCTTCAGTATGGAAGAAGGAGAGAAAAAGCTATCCAGGATCAGTAGGAAGCAAAGTCTCAGTCAATGCCCTGATCTTTCCATGTCCATGGGAGAGCTGGTCCACTCACCCTTTCAGCAAAGAGAGCTAAGGAAGCCCAAGAGCCACTGGGGGCCAAGAGCAGGGCTCCCCGGCACTGTGCCCGCTGGCCTGTGGCAGGGTGGAGCCAAGTTACTCTGGGGCACCCTCCCTGTGCTAGCTAAATGGTGCTCAGGGTCATTCTAGTTCTACAAAGAAAGGTTATACTCCTTCCGGGATATCTGTGCTCCTGCAAGACCTACCAATAATTTCCCTGTTAACCCTACTTCTGGTTAGGAAAGACTGTGTGCATGAAAAGCAGATGATGGTGGCAGTAATGGCTAACCGACTGTAAGTTACTTCCACACGGATTAACTTAGTCTTCCCCAAATCCTGTGAGGTCAGTTGTCTGCCAAGTCACTTGGCCAAGGCCACACAGATACTAAGTCAAAACCCTCAGGGCATAAATTATCAAAATTAGTACAGACCAGACCCTGACTGACCAAAGAGATTATATGGTCTAATGGTTCTGAAATTGTTGGCTATTTATCAGGACAATCAGGAGTTTGTGTAAAAATGCAAATTTCCAGGTCCAACTCTTGGAAACTCATACTATTCAACTGGACCTGGGGCTCAGAAATAAGCTTTTCGGATGGGTCAACTGGCCCCTGTCCAAGTAATTCCCTTGGGTGCTCACTGCTTTGAAGAGGAATACATTGTGCTTCACACACCATCAGAAAGTAAACGTGTAATCACTGGAAAAAATGCCTTTTAATTCTTCTTCTAAATGTAAGCCTCGAATTTGCTGGGCTTTGTTTTTTAAATTCTACACTGAGTCGAACACATGGTACCCAATGACTCTGGCTTTGCTCTACTCTTCCTTCCTAAGCCCCTCCCCCCGACCACAGGGCCGGGCCTGTCGCATGTCCCATCTTCTCATACACAGCTCCCGCATGTGACCAGCATGCAGGGGAAGGCACTCCAGGACTGCGAGCCTCTTCCTCCTCAGAACAGACTGCTGCTCCTCCACCACACTTCTTCCTATCAGCGCAACCTTAAATTGCACCTGATTAGTTTCCACATCCCCCTAATGACTCAAATTGTATTCTCAGTGAATTAAAATCCCACACCTTTTCCCCCATAAACTCTCACTGGAGCAGGCCTTCTCCATTTAAATACTGATATTTTGAACCTAAATGCAGGACATGAAAGCTATTCTCAAAACATTTCAATTTGGGAATAAAAGCAACATGTGAGACTGCATTCCTCGTCTCCATCCATTTAGATTTATTCTCAAAACCTAAAAAAGAAACAAAACCCTCCATTATCACTGCAGAAACTGCAGCCACTTCTCAGGTCCATGGCATCTACCACCAGAGTCCCTGAGATGTAACCTGAGCTCGGTCAGCAAATCAACATCGAATGATGGCACAAAGTGGGAGTGGCCTTCCCTAAAACTGATGCTCTCATCTTGCTGACATTTCCACCCAAATGACAGGTAAATTCCTTATGGACAGGCGAGTTGTCAGGGCAATTCATGGTGGCAGCAGAAGTGTCTCCATCTTTGTAGCTGGCGATCCTACTCCTAAGCCTACAGACAGTTCTGAGTACTGTTCTGAGGTGAAGAAGCCAATGCACGTACTTGGACTCCCACTCAGCACAGACTACACGAGCAGAAGAGAGCCCCACCTTGCTCTGGATTCTCAGCCATCCAGGGCCCTCCCATTAGCCTTTTTCTTCTGCCCCATATGCTGTGGACACACTGAGACCATAGCTTTTTCATCAAAAAGAACTGGGAAGACACCTCACCTGGGTTGATGATCTCATCATCCTCACTGAAAGTCACTCGGGAGTTCTTCCTCTTCCTCTTTGGTCTCTGAATGTCCAGATTTCCCTCCTCAATGGTGAGGGTTGAAATCCGCTTGTTGTGGGCAGTGTTGAACTCTGTCAGGTTCTAGGCCAGGATTTATAAGAAAGATGGGCATCAGTACATATGGAATGGGGTGGAAAAATATTAAAAAGGCTAAGAAGGCCTTGGGGGCTTATTTTGACATTCCAAGGCAGATAAAACTCTTTTACACTTAGAGAAGATCCAAACTGTCCCTAGACTGCTAACACCCAGAAGTCCCATCTGAAAGAATGTGGGTCATCCTCACTGACAGTGGTGCAGTGAAGGCCTTGAGCTAAGAACAGGTCATCTGGGCAAACAACCTTTCGTTGAGGCTTTTGTTTTTTGAAGAAAGGCTCTCGTGCCTTCATGCTGGGGATGAAAGGAAATGCAACTGGGAGGAACTCCAAGAACTGCTTTTAAGTATCAGAACAAGAAGAAAAAAGGACAAGTGACTGCTTCTTTCCCAGTGGCCCTCTCCTTTAAAAATCTTAAGAACACTACGGGGCACTTAATTTATAGCATCAATATTCTGTTACTTCCCATCCTGTGTCTGGCCCAATTCTATTCATAGCCATCCACGCACACACCCATCTCAGTGATTAACTTGGTGTTAGCACTGCTGCCAGCTTTGTCCCGATCCACTGGACTTATTCCAACCTGCACTGCAGACTGCGATAGTCTAATGAACGGTCTTAAGAATGAATGAAGACCCAGACAGGACCTAACACACTGAGCTAAGGATGGGGAAGCAGCCTCGTCGGGGAATGGGCCAGTGACCAGCACTTCTCCTCTGCTTCTTTCTGAGGGTTGGGAAACTGCCTTGGTGTACAGGGACAGTGCCTGTGGGTGGTTAAGAACATGTCCATCTGAACAGGACAGTCACACCAGTACGGTGGAGAATGTGAACTACTACAGCCACACCACAAACTACTGTGGCCAGCATCTAAAAGGGAAAATTTTAGCACTTTGAAAAAAAAAAAGTTTGTAAACGTTCAGTACAGACACAATTTACTTCCCCCAAATATTTTTCTTCCACTGTTGGCTGAATCTACAGATGTGCAGCCTGCAGAGGGCCTACTGTAATCTCCACCTGTGCTATCCGCTCTGGTAGCCATCAGCCTCCTGGCTGTGGAATACTTGAAATGTAGCCAGTGGCTGCCACACTGGACAATGTGACTCTGAAGAGTTGGAGTGACAAAAGAAAGTAACCCCCAGCTGTGGCTTCTAAAAGCCAGTGAAAGAGCACATGACAGCTCAGAGAGTCTACTGGCAGGGAGACCCCATCTCCTCTCCCCGCTGGCTCTGGTCATAATTATCCAAATCTGCACAATGTGGCTCTTTCCACAGCTGGCCATCTCACCCTGCTGAAGGCCCGTTACCGGACTCAAGAGAACCTGCTGCTGCTCACGCACTGGTGTTTCAACCTGCACAGAACAGCCACGGGCTGTAAAAGCAGGGTCCCCAACAACAAAAACGACATAGACGTGGAATTACATCAAGCTCGGTTTCCTCCTCTGGAAGCCCCAGCAAGCCCTTGAGCTCATCATCCTCTCCACCCATCTTCTCATCTCCTTTCACGGCCGACGGCAATGTCTGAGGTTTTTCACGCAGAGTGTATGCCCTTGTGGAGGCGCCAAATGAGACTGTGGAATCGATGGGAATTTGCTGAGGCTTGTGAGGTTCCAACCGAATGTGACCTAAGAAAGTGCCGTGTGCTGGGAATAACCAAATCAGAAATGTAAGGTGGGAGAAACCAAAAACAGCCCGAGTTTTAGGGGGAAGCGCATCATCTTCAACTCTCTTAGGTCAAGTCCTCCCAGCACATCAGTTCAGTTTGTTTGTTCATAAAAATGCCACAGTCAGGACTATGGTGAGAAAACACAAGCTTTATAAAATGAAAATGGCACTGGATCCACTGCATCCTCTGTCCTATGTTACAGTGAGCCTTGAATCTTTTCAGTGGACTTCTCACACATCTTCAGACCTGCTGTCCCCCCAAGTAACAAATGCCACTGCCTGCTCTCTGCTGCCAGATAGGCGTGGCTCCATTCTGGGTCCAACAGCAGTGGCTCCCACCCAGCGGAAGGTAAACCCCTGCAAGACAGGAGACACGCGCATCACCGTAGTCTGCTCTCTCCAGCCCCAAGTCTAAGGAACATAGGAACTGCTTGTCTGGTGGAAACTGGGTTTAACGCTTGGGCTTTTCCCAGGACAAGAAAGGAGACTGGCTGCAATAGGCCCATTGCCAATGCCAAGGCTGTCAAAACCTTTGCATGTTATAAATGAAAAGCAAAGATGAAGTAAGTACTCGTAAGGCAAGGCTCCAAGTTCTTCATGACGCACACAAGTGGTGTGTTTTGTAGGGACAGAGGAAGAGTCAAAGAGGGCACATGAAGACACTTTAGGACTCCATGCAGTCAACCTGCAATTGAATTTCTATGGATTATTTTTAGCAAAATTTGAAAACTTATTATTTGGAGTAACTTCCTAGAATTAAGATTTATATCATTTGTTGGCAAAACAAATATACCTATTGTAAATAACTAAATTTTGCTCACAAAAAAAAGTATTTTTTAAATGTCCTACCTACATCACTGCTCTACTATTCTAACAGAGCTAACACTAGCTTCTGCTTAAACTGGACCATAATTCATCACGGTCCAATCAATATCTAAATACCCACCGGCCCTGGTTGCTGGGAGCTTTTTTGTTTCTCTATATATACTTATTACTGCCTCTTCAAGCAGGTGCTCCTCAAAGCTCTCTGCTCTCCACAGTCAGTCATCATTAATTTCAGGAAAACAGGAGAATCACAGGAATAGACAAAGACTGATTTTAAAAAACACACTTAAACCTTTTCCTTTGTGAGCAATAAAACATGTTTTTCAAACCAAAGAACCCAAAGAGCATTTTCACACTGCCAAGGGGAACAGGTGAGATGGGAAAAGGTACTTACTACTATTGAGATCTATCAGGAAAACTCTCTTCAGATGCTTGTGGTAGACCAGTGCAGCATGGACCCGAGAGCAAGACTGATGGTCAATGGTAAAGTCACACAAATCAGGGTTTCTCCCAAATAAGTAATATTTCTTCTCATCAATAATCAGTTTCTAAATAAATATTAAATTAAAATATTACTTATATCTTGTTTTAACAGGGTTAACCAAAAACACCTCCAAACAAATAAAGAGGATCTTGAATAAGACAAAATCTTTCGCCACGAAGAGCTCAGGGTAAGTGACCGACCTAATCCATCAGGGGGTTGTCAACCAGTCTCCTCAAATGCAGCTCAGTTGTCCAGCATCTGTATGAAAATAACTTTTCTTGATTCTAACAGATTTAGGTGGCCTGTCCCCAAGAAAGCAATAATTTTTTTTTTTTATTTTTTTTATTTTATTTTTGACAGGCAGAGTGGACAGTGAGAGAGACAGACAGAGAGAAAGGTCTTCCTTTGCCGTTGGTTCACCCTCCAATGGCTGCCGCCGGTGCATCGCGCTGATCCAATGGCAGGAGCCAGGTACTTCTCCTGGTCTCCCATGGGGTGCAGGGCCCAAGCACCTGGGCCATCCTCCACTGCACTCCCTGGCCACAGCAGAGAGCTGGCCTGGAAGAGGGGCAACCGGGACAGAATCCAGCGCCCCGACCAGGACTAGAACCCGGTGTGCCGGCGCCACAAGGTGGAGGATCAGTCCAGTGAGCCGCGGCGCCGGCGTAAGAAAGCAATAATTCTACTAGTGGTTGGCTTCTATCTGCTGGAAATTTAAGGTCTCATTAGATCTGAATTTAAAATTTTTTAAAACTTCTTTATTTTTTATTTGAAAAATAGAGAGAGGGATTTTCCATCCACTGGTTCACTCCCCAAATGCTCACAGTAGCTGAGGCTGAAGCCAGGAGCCACAAACTCAATCCAGGTCTTCCATGTGGGTGGCAGAGACCTAACCGCTTGAGCTATCACCTGCAGCCTCCCAGGGTTCAAATTAGCAGGAAGCTGATATTAGAAGCAGACCTAGGACTTGAACCTAGGCACTCTGAAATGGGATGCCAGCAGCCCAAGCAGTGTCTTAATCACTGCACCAAGCACCCACCCTTGTCTATCAGGAAACAAGATGCACAAAGCATATCTATAAAGCAATAAGACTGCTTTTCAGAAAATACATATTCAAATTAAGGCTATCACTTGGTTGGGAAAGGAATAAGGTATAAACATCTATCTATATTCTAATCATGCTGTCATAGCTCCGAAGTATTTTTGGAACACTGCAAGAACTGGAATTATGTTAGCCAACACTGCATGAACTCCTGAATATAACTTTATTGTCCCATTTCAGTTTTGCCACAAAAAGATTATCCAGAGTTAACACTAAATGAGCATTTACTGTGTCCAAATATGGAACCACCGCACGAGGCAGACTTTCCAGACTGAAGGAAGGTATGGGAAGTAACGTTTAATGAAGATGCCTATTGCTAGGCATTCGAAACATTATCTCCTTAAAACAAGTCTATGAAGCAAGCAGCATCTCTACTGTTAAAGAGAAAAGAACAGAGCCAGAGAGATGCAGTCAGTCACTCAAGGTGGCCTGGCTGGTTAAGTGGGAGGGCAGCTAGGGTTTAAACTCAGACTTGCAACGATAATTGATAATTCTAAACACAGTGCCCTGGACCTGGAACAATTCTAAAAACTCAGCTGCTACTGTGGCACTGGAAAAAAAAAAAAAAAAAACAGAACTAAACTACAAAAAATTGTGGAGTAAGAAGGGGCTGACATAGATGTGTTAATGTTTTATTTTCCCAAGTAAAGACATAAAAAAAAAAAAACTTCCATGAAGGGCTGGCACTGTGGCACAGTGAGTAAAGCTGCTGCCTATGATGCCAGCATCCCATACAGGTGCTGGTTCATGTACCAGCTGCTCCACTTCGAATTCAGTTCTCTGCTGATGCCCTTGGAGAAGCAGTAGAAGATGGCCCAAGCACTTGTGCCCCACTATCTATGTGGGAGACCTGGAAGAAGTTTCTGGCTCCTGGCTTCAGCCTGGCACAGCCCTGGCCATTGCAGCCATCTGGGGAGTGAACTAGCAGATGGAAGATCTCTCTCTTTCTCTCCCACCACTCTCCACCCTTCTCTGTAACTCTTTCAAATAAATAAATCTTAAAAAGATAAAAAAAAAAAAAAGTCATGAATTAGTATAACCATCCCCATCATTTTATAAAAAGGTCATTTTACCAGCAAATGAGTAGGAAGACAAGTATAAAGGACCTTCCACTCTCTGAGTTACATTTAGCTTCATGAAAAACTCACACCATTGTCCTTTCCTTTCTTTTCATCCTGGATCACTAAAGCCTCTGCCACAGACTGGTTATAGACCAGGCTGTCATAGTAGAAGCACTCTAGATGGATTATTGCTACCACTCCATCCAATTCCAGTATTCGGGGCCATTGCTAGTGGTCATCTATCTAGTCTTTATCTGAAGATAACCCTCATTTGGATATGCTGTGTTTTTCCTGGAACCACAAAGTCTCATTAAACTCCAGCTCATGTTTAACTCTATACTCCTAAAATCCCCGAGGAAAGACAGTATAAAGCTGAGTAGAGAGGCATAGTCACGTTAGTCTCAGGAGGAATCAAGAGGCCTGAATCACATTCCTGGCTATGCCTTTGAACTTTACTGTTCCCCTCACAAAACCATAACATACAGCTCATACAGACTCTAAGCACTGATAAAACGAGCAACTGCTAAGCCTATGTGTCGCTCAGGGTGTGAACGTTTTCTTTTTAAAGATTTATTTATTTTGAAAAGCAGAGTTACAGACGCAGAGAGAGGTCTTCCATCTGCTGGTTCACTCCCCAAATGTCTGCAGAAGCCAGGCCTGGCCAGGCCAAAGTCAAGAGCCAGGAACCTCTTCCAGATCTTCCACAAGGTCTCGGGCCATCCTCCACTGCTTTCAAAGGAATAGTAGCAGGGAGCTGGATCAGAAGTGAAGCAGCCGGGACTCAAACCGACGCCCATATGGGATGCCGACATTGCAGGCAACAGCTTAACCCAACACGCCACAGCAACGGCCCCAGGGTGCTGAGTTTTATTATGTCATTTCCTCCCCTCAACCATTACTGAAGTGAATAGATACTATTTTTCCTTTTAATAGATGAGAAAAGTGAGGCAGAAAGAAATTAATATATTTGAGTTCACAAAACTAGATATTTGTGGGCTGGGTGAGAAATTGAGATCTGCATGACTTCAGAATCTAAGCTTTTTTAACCACTACATTACATATTTTCTTCATTCTACTTCATCAAAAGATGCACCACAGAGCAAGGAGTATTTTAAGGAGTGAACAGGACTATGGGTCATACTCTTAATTTTTTTCTTTTTGTTTTTAAAGATGTATTTATTCATTTGAAAGTCAGAGTTATACAAAGAGACAGAAAGGTTGATCTTCCAGTCATGGGCTCACTCCCTAGATGGCCCCAACAGCCCGGGCTGGGCCAGGCAGAAGCTGAGAGCCTCTGGGTCTCCTCCGTGGGTGGCAGAGGCCCAAGCACCCAGGTCAACTTCTGCTGCTTTTCCCAGGCCATTAGCAAGGAGCTGGATCAGAGGTGGAGCAGCCAGGACTCAAACCAGCACCCATGTGGGATGCCAGTGTCACAGGCGGCAGTTTTATCCACTACACCACAATGCCAGTCCCCTTAAGTTTTCTTTAAACAATCACTTACCCAGTTGCTTTCAAGCTTAGCCTTAGGGTTCAATTAGTTCAAGCCAGCATAGTTATGCGGGTCACCCCTGGGAAAGCCGGCCCAGTAGCACCCATCTGCTGCTGGTAGAGCTTGTTCCAGGCCATACACTACAGAGCTCCAAGACAACTACGGCCTGACAGCTCAGTCACCCCACGTCTGCTCTGGCACAAGTTTTAAGACCTCGGTTAGAAATAAGACATTTCTTGAGAATTATAAGAGAGCCCTAAATTGTCAACATCTTTTTCTCACTAGGTAGTATCTATTCTGACTGAATCTCACTGCATTTTTCATTCATACTCATAACATACAGATTATACCCTCAGAGACTGTTTGGCAACCACAATGCTCTCAGGTGGGTCTCAAAGAAAACCAGCTCTTGGGTTCTGATTTTAACAATGACCAGATTTCTACAATTTTAGGTGCCAAAGAAGTATCAGAGGTTTAGGGATTTGTTTGAGGGAGAAAAAAAGAGAAAAGGTCCTCAAACTAAACATATGCATTCACTACTAAAGACATCTCAAATACAGAAATACTGAAATGTATGGAATTTTAATGGAAAAGTGTGTGTCTCAGAATCAGACAATGTGCTTAGGGAATGTGCTGCTCTGTCCAAGTGCAGGAACTAAAGCATTAGTCCAACAGTCACTAAATCTGCATCCCACTATCCAGCTGTGCCTCTGAGTTATAACTCAGAGTGTGTCTTTACACTCTGGGCTTAAAAGCCTCATGGCTTTTGTTTTGATATTGCACTTCTTAAACCCAGCTATCACAACACATCCCAAGCCTTTGACACAAGACCAGGATGCAGATAGCTCGGTTAGTATCAAGTGCTGACCAAGTTTACATCTTTAAAAATACACATCTCAGGTCTACTCCTGTCAAGAACAACACAGTGATGTCTAAGGACTGCAACTTGACAACTGTATGGCAACTCAGCACGCTTAGGGCTCTGAAAGACAGAGAACATTATCAGTTAATGGGAACCGGTAATCAGAGGGGTGCTGGACAAGTCAGAGTGCTTGGAAAACATAAATTACTTCACAAAGGAATGTGAGGCCGTCGTCAGGGCTAGCCCTCACTGTCTGCTTCTTCTATTGTAAACTAAAAGATTTACCAAAACAGATTCCTATTTGTCGTCATGCTTCATGCTATTAGTGACAAATACTCTGAATCTGTGAAACAATCTATAATAAAAAGGTTGCTACAGATATTTTAGCCAAATTATTTCCTTGAAAAATCTTAATGTTTTGAATCTTTAAGATAGAAGAACCCATGACAAAGGGGTTCTATGTGACTGGCTGAGGGCACAATGAATTAAAAATAGGAGAATTACTTGCAACTCATTCATGTCTTAATACTTTGCAAAACACCTGATTATCCTCACAACATCCTAAAACTAGCAACAACGTATTTAAGGAGCATCCTTCAGAAGATCTCAGATAGCTTTTTAAGCTAACAACTATGGAACTGCAATGTTTTTACTATGTGCCAAAGAAAAACAATAGAAAACAATGGGACCTGAAGCCAAACTGTAGCTCAGCAAGCAAACATAAAATTGGACTAAGACATGGGAACTCATGGCTCCAAAGGCTTAATCTCTATTTCTTGGTAAATAAATAATCTCATAAGGATTTTTAAAAACTTACACAACTAATCAAAACTTATGTTCTCTTTAAGTTTTATGTGGCAATGTTCTAGAGACTTGTATAAAAGCTGGCATCTGCCAAACTTTCCCTTTTAGTACTTATTTCAATTATAATCATGTAATTTTATGTGTGTGATTCTGTCCCCACCCCCACCCCTGGGATGCCTGAAGGACAGGAACCGTGTGTTTAGCTCACTGCTGTAGTCCCTGCCCTAAGTATGGTGATTGACACACTATAAATAATCAATCAATACTGTGAATGAATGAATCTCATTTTTGAGCAGCTTATCTTAGTTCACCATACTTCCTTAAAGGAGCTGGGTCTGAGTCTCAGAAAAGCAACATAAAGCCTATCTGTATCATCCGTGCAATCCACTTTCTTCTTCACTAACTGCAAACCTTCTGCCTTCCAGAGAGGGAATTCACTAATTAAGAGGCTTCCGGTCTGACTGGGGCCTATAGGCCTATTACCTATTAAAACCCTTCATCTAGAAGGTGCAAGAAGTCACTGAGGGAGATGGGAGCTTTGAATGTGTTACACAGAAAAAATAAAAATCAGGATGAACAAAAGTAGCATTACTGGAAAACAAAGCATGGGCAAGGGGGTGGAAAAGTGAGTCACTGCCAGAAATCCTTGGCAAGATGGGGGGATAAAGGGCAGACGAGTATTTCCATACCTCAATTAGTTTATCTCCTTTGACTACATCCAGATGTAAACCAGGTGGGGGCTTACCTGCCCTGAAAAGTAAGAGTGAAAAAAAGCATTTTCAGGATGAGTTCATAAATGCTCTTCACAATCACTGTATCAGTCGACACTGCAGCTCTCCTACCAGCCTATAATTAGTTCATGTTCAAGCAGAAATGTCATCCACTTCACTGTTAGTACAGCTCCTTTCTATGTGACACTCACTTCCCCAGTGATTCTATTGCTCTAAAACAGATTTTAGTGCATCTGTATTGAGAGCAGCACCGAAGGCAGCTATATTTTAACGTTGGATATTCACCTTGGCAAGAAAGCAGCATATACAGCTGGGGGAACCTGGTCACCTGGAATACGAATGCGAGATCTGCCGCTGCCCTCCTAGCACACAAAGGCAGGGTAGATCAGTTGCTGGTTTTGGACTGATCGAGGTTAGTCTCATCACAGAATAAGGTGAGAATACTGTCCTGAACTCTGAGACAAAAATCAGAGGTGCAGAATTAGGAAACTAGGGCAATTCAAAATCACACCTACAAAACCAGGTAACAAACGAACACAAGAAAAATGTTACCCTTGAACAGGTCTTGCCACAATGGCATGATTACAGGAACTTTTCTCTATCCTCCTACAGCCACGCCAATCAAGGGAGGAAGACACACACGTTCATAAATGTCAAAGCGGCCAACACACCCTTTACACACCGGACCCAGCGGAAATGATAGGTGACCTCCGTGTCGTGGTACATTTGCTATCTTTTAAAAAAAATTTATTCCAGGTATACACATTTCCTGTACTCCAGATATACAGATTCAGGAACACAGTGATACTCCTCACCCTATCCGCCCTCCCGCCCACGATCCCACTCTGCCTCCTCCCTCTCCTATTCCCATTCTTATTTTTTACAAAGATCTATTTTCAGTTAACTTCAGCACATTTGCTATTCTGGTCCAAATTTAGAAATCAATGCATTGAGAGACAAAAATTCAAAATGGACAGAGAATTTGTAGAGTGAAGCAAGTGGGTGCTAGAAAAGTGTGAAGTGATCCTGAAAACAGTCACACATGGACTTCTCGACTTGCCTCCTGGGCTTGTTCATTTGATGTTTGAGAAAAAGAACAATCTTGCCAGAGCACCGCATTTGCACAAGAAAAATGTATCTCTGTCTATCTACTGAAGAGGGAAGATGCAACATAGTTATCTCACAATTCCAGCCTGACCCCTGCATGCCACTTGGTGAGCGGGCAGTGCACTGGACAAAAACCCATTCTGTCCATGGACACAGAGGAAAGAATGGTACACCTAAGCCTTACTTTCTGAACTCCTACTGTGTGCCTGTCTCAGACCTAGGGGCTGAAATACAAAGACCATCAGTCCTTGCCCTTGAGGTCCTCAGTATTAACGGGGGCCAGAGCCGAGCACCACAAACAATACACTACACTGAGATGAGCTACCGTAGATACAGCGCTGACTGGGGGACCCTGCTCTTTCCGAGGCAACTCATGCTTGCTCGTTTTGTACCTTACTCAAAGACTAAATCACTCCATTATTCCCAAGGACTTTCCCAAGGATGAAGGAGGTTCATTCTAACAATTACAGATGCCCACTTGGGCCGGGCCACGCACTGGTCCCTGGGCTCTGCAGGGTGGGTCGGCGCCATCCCTGCCTTCAGCGAGCTCCCAGTCTGCGGGAGATGTCCAAGTAGAGCCGCGGGATGCGCGGGGCTCGGAGGCCGGGCCGGGGTCGGGGAGCTGGCTCGTGCGCGCTCGGGACGTACAGCAGGGGGTCGGGTACCGCGCTCCGCTAGAGCACCAGGCGCTCCGTCAGGAGTTGAGGGCAAGTTTGGGGCCAAGGCCTCAAAGAGCCCAGGCGAGCAGCTGACCGCCCGACGGGCTGCTTAAGTGAACGCCTTTGAGCCCCCAATCCCGAGTTTCCTCAGTTCCTGGGCCCCGGCTCCAGGCTCTGGGATCCTCCACACGTCGCCCGGCCCGGCGCAGCGGACAGTTTTCCCTCAATCATTCCAAGGTTTCTGAGCCATTCGACTCACGGGGGAAAAAAAAACAGCTTCCCTTCCAGGGCAGGCTAGCTCAGGCCAAGCCACTCCAGTCCCGGTCGCCCCGCCACTCACCAGGTCGGGCAGTCGAACAGCGGGAGGCTGGAGCCGGAGTTCGCGGCTGCCGCCATCTTGCGTCTCCCCCTCCCATTTGGCGGGCCCGGAGCACGCCGGGAAACTGGAAGACCGGGAGGGACGGGGCGGCATCCCAGCAGTCTGCGCGAATGCGCGCTTACGCACGCCCGTACGTACGTGGAGGCGGTGCTCCTAGTGGAGACTGGGAGCCGGTTTCGGGTCTGTAGTTTTCTGTTAGGTCCGCGCTGGGGAACCCTCCAAAGGTTAGGGCTTTCTGTAGCCGGGAGATGGCAGAGGAAAGGGGGCTCGTGAGGCGGCTTCTCGGCCTCCCCCCACGTCCTCCCGCAGACGCTCCCGGGCTCTGAAATCTTGGGACTCAGTCCTCTCCCAGGGCTCGCACCGTTAGCCTTTGGCCAGCCATCTAAAGAACAGCTAGATGGTAAAGTCGGAAGTCGGTGTGATCGCTGTTTCTCCTCTTCTGTCGCTTCTCAGGAAAGCTGCACCCTGCTCTCTCCGTCTGAATCTGGGCCTTGAGGGCTTCTGTGGACCAACTGGGAACCTGCTTAGGGGTCATCTAGTCAGACACTGGGCAACCTGGAGCCAGGAGTGGACCCAGTCGGGTGTCCAGATCTTCACGGTGCATACATAGTTCAAATGGTTAATAAGCTGTGGCCCCTCTGGATTTTTGGCTTTGGTCAAGGTGACTGCATTGTGCAAGGACACATTGGGATTGCTGGCTTGGACACCAGCGGGCTGATTATCAGCAGGGCCTTTGGCTGTAATGGCTGGCTGTCGAGCCCCTCCTCTCTCTAGGCAAGTATGTACTTTATGAGTCATCTCAATACTCAGAACTCTTAAGGCAGGTATTGTATGATCCTGGAGGAGATGCTCAGATTTCCCAGTCTCATCCCACAGGTAGTGAGTGGGATTCCAACCTGACCGTGTGAAGCCAAGGGCCATGCCCATTCATCACCCACTTTGATGTGGGTATAGTCATATTAATTATTAGCATGCAACTGATGCCTCTTTTTCGCTTTTGTAAAAATGGGAGGATTATCTGACCTGTAGTGTATTCCTTTTTAAATTAGCCAATTCCAATATTATTGTTCACCCAGAAACAGGCACTACTTGGCAGGTTAAGGAGTCTGAGATTCCTTCTTGATTCCCCATTACTGGTTTTCTGGATCTTAAATAGAAAAACAGCCTATTCAAGAGACTTTGCCTCTGGAGACGCTGCCGCCAAGATTTAACTGCAATGTAACATTAACTTGAATTTTAAGATTATCAACTCTTACACCGGTTGGAGAATCACCTTCCTCTGGCCTGGATGTGTGTGCACACACACACACGCACACTCACTCACCCTCATCCAACAAGGAAGGCCACGAATCAGATCACTTAGCAAACTGCCTGTGAATATCCATTCCAAAGTAATACTAGGCTGATAGAAAAAATACAAATCTAAACCTGGTTTCAAGGAAACAGAAATGACCCTAATACTTCCTCTTTTGAGCACAAGGACATGATTTTGAGGAGGAATTAATCTTAAAAGTGTTTTAAGTGTAACAGGAACTAACAAAGTATGTCCCATCCAGAGGTTGTGGAGGCCTGTTAAATTCATGTCCCTTTCAGGCAGGGGGTGGTGTTGAAACCACTTCCAGGTGTTAGTGAGTTGGTAACGTCTTACTTCAACTTTGCTTTTCAATTTTTCAGCTTTTGTGTCTGGTCCTTCTGGTGCCAACTATATGTCCAAGAAACATCAGAGCTATGCTGTTACCCTTACAATCCTTCACTCCTTAGCCACGTTCCGTCTTCAGACCCTGAGGTGGTGGCACCTTACACTTAGGCCTTTTAAAGCAAAAATGCTGTTTGGGTGCCAGTGATGTCAGTGTGGACCTCTGCAGCAGTCTAAGCCCTCAGCCTTGTGGAATGGAAAGACTGATGGGCTGGCTCTTTGGATCTTTGCCTGTGGCAGACTTCTTTAGAAAAAATCTTGATCAATTAAGATTTTAAGTGATCAAATGGAGATGAAATAAATTGTGTCTACAGAGCACAAGCAGGAGACTTAATGTGGCTGGTGGTAATAAAAAAGTTGTTCACAAGGTGCTAAGAGAAAGGATGTTGATGAAAAGCTGGGTGGAAATCACCACTTCACCAGCTCTTTGGGGAACGCTTCATGAAGGTTTCCATCAGTGACACACACGGTGGTCAGGGTCTAATGGTGCATGGTTTTTTTAGTCTGAGTGTTTGAAAATTGAATTCTGACTCCATTACATGTAGACTGTGTGACCATGAGCAGGTGACTTACACCTCAGCTTCCTGATCCCAAGAACAGTACATAGTCCTAGTATTTGTGGGCACAGGAAAATAAGAGAAGCATTTACCATAGTAACTTTTTTTTTTTTTTTTTTTTTGGACAGGCAGGGTAGACAGTGAGAGAGAGAGACAGAGAGAAAAGAAAGGTCTTCCTTTGCCGTTGGTTCACCCTCCAATGGCCGCCGAGGCCGGCACACTGCGCTGATCCGAAGGCAGGAGCCAGGTGCTTCTCCTGGTCTCCCATGGGGTGCAGGGCCCAAGCACCTGGGCCATCCTCCACTGCACTTCCCTGGCCACAGCAGAGAGCTGGCCTGGAAGAGGGGCAACCGGGACAGAATCCAGTGCCCTGACCGGGACTAGAACCCGGTGTGCCGGCGCCGCAAGGCGGAGGATTAGCCTAGTGAGCCGCGGCGCCGGCCTACCATAGTAACTTGTTGGCTGTCCGGGCCCAAATGTTTTCCAGGTGGTCATTCACACGCAGAGCCCTTACATTCCTGACTGCATTCTGGGCCTCCCCTTCAGCTGTAAAACGAGGCCCGTCTGCACGACCGGTCCACAGACTTAGAGAAGTCACACACCAGGAAAACAAAAAGTAATAAAAGGCCGCTGACTTTTGACAATGAAAGGAATTTAAAAATGAAATCTGCTGGGCCGGCGCCGCGGCTCACTAGGCTAATCCTCCGCCTTGCGGCGCCGGCACACCGGGTTCTAGTCCCGGTTGGGGCACGGATTCTGTCCCGGTTACCCCTCTTCCAGGCCAGCTCTCTGCTGTGGCCAGGGAGTACAGTGGAGGATGGCCCAGGTGCTTGGGCCCTGCACCCCATGGGAGACCAGGAAAAGCACCTGGCTCCTGGCTCCTGCCATCGGATCAGCGCGGTGCGCCGGCTGCAGCGCGCTGGCCGCGGCGGCCATTGGAGGGTGAACCAATGGCAAAAGGAAGACCTTTCTCTCTGTCTCTCTCCCCCACTGGTCCACCTCTGCCTGTCAAAAAAAAAAAAAAAAAAAAATGAAATCTGCCATCTAATATCAGCAGTTTTTTATTATAATTTTGTATTGCAATTTTTAAAAAGATTTATTTATCTGAAAGGCAGTGACAAAGAGGAAGAAACAGACATCTTTCAGTTGCTGGTTCGTTCCCCAAATGGCCACAACAGCCAGGGATTGGCCAGGAACCCCAAACTCCATCTGGGTCTCCCATCTGTGTGGCAGGGGCCCAAGTACCGAGGCTTATATCTTTTGCTGCCTTCTCAGGTGAGTCAGCAAGGACGGGAGCCGATGCTGATATGGGATGCTAGCAACCCAAGTGGCAGCTTAACCCACTGCACAACACTAGCCCCCACTTTAATAATTATTTTTAAAGATTTACTTGTTTATTTGAAAGTCAGAGGCACAGAGAGGGTGAGGCAGAGACAAAGAGAGGAGGGAGGGAGGGAGGGAGGGAGGGAAAGGTCTTCCATCCACTGGTTCACTTCCCAAATGGCCACAACAACCATGGCTGAGCCAGGCCAAAGCCAGGAGCCAGGTGCTTCTTCCAGGTCTCCCACATGGGTGCAGGGGTCCAGGCACTGTGGCCATCTTCCTCTGCTTTCCTAGGTGCATTAGCGGGGAGCTGGATCAGAAGTGGCGTAGCTGGAACTCAAACCAATGCCCATACAGGATGCCGGCACTGCAGGCAGCAGCTTTACCAGCCACAGCGCTGACTCCAATTTTAGTAATTGTAAAATACCATTTTATAAAAATTGGCAGAACATTATCTCAGACTCAGGAGGAACTTTTAAAAAGCCAACTACATCATTTTTCTCATTTCTCTAGGAACTGATTAAAAACTTGGTGCTTAACCAAAGTCCAGCATAACAGTGTGTATTGTTTCAAGTTTATTCTTTAAAAATTTAAAGTGCTAGGAGCAAGTGTTGTGGCGTAGCAGGTAAAGCCACCACCTGAGCTGCTGGCTGCTTCACTTCCAATGCAGCTCCCGGCTAATGGTCTAGGAAAGCAGCAGATGGCCCAGGTGTTTGGGACCCTGCACCCACATGGGAGACCCGGATGACACTCCTGTCTTCAGCCTGGCTCAGTCCTGGCAATTGAGGAATCTGGGGGGTGAACCAGAGGATGAAAGATCTTTTTGTCTCTCTGACTTACAAATAAATAAATAATCTTTTTTTTAAGTGATACATGTCAATCAAATTTTATGTTGGCAAAGTATCAAAATGGACTACATCAGTTGGACTGATGTAGAATTAGGGGCTGGGAATCAAAATCTCCATTCTCAGGTTAAATGGAGCTTTTAAAGTAGTTGTATTTTGTGGTTCTGGAAAGTAATATTGCAAACTCCTTTGAAGGCTAGGGACACAGTACACAGGATTGGAAAAACAGGGAAGCAGCAGGCGACTGCTACCTTTCGGGAATAGAATGGACTGGAGAGCTGAGTTGGCTCAGCGCTGCACTTATTGACCAAAAGCGAACAGTGCATCCCATGACTGAGGTCGGTCTCAATAGAAATAAAAACTGAGTGTTCTAGTTTCTTTAGACTGAAAGGTATTTTCATTTTGCCCAATGGTAAGGCAGTGTTTTGTTTTTGTTTTTTTGTTTTTTAAAGAATTATTTATTTGAAAGAGAGGTAGAGCCAGAGAGAGAGGTCTTCCATTCTGCTGGTTCACTCCCCAAATGACTGCAACAACCAGAGCTGAGTTGATCCAAAGCTAGGAGCCAGGAACTTCTTCCAGGTCCCCAACGCGGGTGCAGGGCCCAAAGACTTGGGCCATCTTCCACTGCTTTCCCAGACCATAGCAGAGAGCTGGATCGGAAGAGGAGCAGCCGGGACTCAAACAGGCACCCATATGAGATGCCGGTGGGGCTTTAACCCATTTTGCCATAGCGCTGGCCCCAAGGCACTGTAAGTTTACTTTAAGAGCTAGACTGCACTGAAGTGGGGGGGTGACTTCTAATCCCACTCCTTAGCAATGCATACACATTTGCCTTGGAAGCATCAGTCTAGCATCTAGCAAATTCTTGTTCTAGAACATTCCCAAATGAAGTGGCCAAAAGGACATTTCTATGTCACCCTACACAGTAATACAGCTTTCATCTCTTTGATGAGAGAATGTTAGATCTATCCAGTATTCCTAGAACATTCTATAAATGAAGAACAGGGAAGGAATACAGACACAGGCATATAATTTGTACATTTAGACCAACTCCCTGTGGTCCTTATAATCAGATTTTTATAGATGGAAAGAGCTATTGAGAAAATTTGGAGCCTTTGGATTATGTAATTTGTCCAAATAACTCTCAGCGAGTTTATGGCAAAGCTAAGATTCTCCAAGTCTTTAGCATGCCAGTCTGGTTTTTGACCTCCAAACCTGTGGTTCTCATGTTTGCAACTTAAGAATTACCTGGAGCTTTAACAAAATCCCTATGCCCAAGCTCTACTCCAGACTAAATTACAATCTTGGGCTGCAGGGATCAAGGTAACAGTATTTTTAAGAATTTCTAGGGGCCGGCGCCATGGCTCACTTGGTTAATCCTCTGCCTGCGGCACTGGCATCCCATATTGGAGCCGGGTTTTAGTCCCAGTTGCTCCTCTTCCAGTCCAGCTCTCTGCTGTGGCCCGGGAGTGCAGTGGAGGATGGCCCAAGTGCTTGGGCCCTGCACCCGCATGGGAGACCAGAAGGAAGCACCTGGCTCCCGGCTTCAGATTGGCACAGTGCCAGCTGTAGCAGCCATCTGGGGGGGTGAACCAACGGAAAAAGGAAGACCTTTCTCTCCGTCTCTCTCTCTCTCTCACTGTCTATAACTCTACCTGTCAAAAAAAAAAAAAAAAAAAAGAATTTCTAATGTGTGGGGCCAACGTTGTGACACAGCAGGTAGAGCTGCCACTTCCGATACCGGCATCCCATATGGGAGTCAGCTCGTGTCCCAGCTGCTTCACTTCCAAATCCAGCTCCCTGCTAATAGCCTGGGAAAGCAGCAGAAGATGGCCCAAAAGTTTGGGCCCCTGAACCCACATATGAGGCCCAGATAAAGCTCCTGGTTCCTGGCTTCCATCTAGCCCAGCACTGGCTGTTACGGCCGTCTGGGGAGTGAACAAGCAGATGGGAGATCGCTGTCTCTCCCCCTCTCTCTGTAATTGACTTTCAAATAAATACACCTTTAAACAAAAAAATGTCTGATGTGAAGCCATAGTTAGGAGCCACTCTCCTAGAACACAGTCCTCACAAAGATAATCAAGGAGGAGATGAAGGCTTCTGAGCACAGGCTGTTAGAATCACCTGGCATCTCTTTGGCAACTACCATGAATTCTAGGCCAAGCTCCTATCTGCTCTCCCGGCCACAGTACAACCACAACTGGACCACACGGTATTACAGAACTACGAACACTTTATTTTACCCGAATTCAAATATTTTTTCAAAAAACTTTTTTTTTCTTTCATGAATGTTACAAATGATGTATCCAAGTCCAACCGAAATGTGGATCCGAAAGGGCGGTGACCAGAGCATCAGGGAATCGCCTCTGAAGCTGCTGCCTGGGCTACCTCGCCACCTCAACAGCTCTGTCCTGTCGTCCAAGGAAAGGCAGCAACACCTGTTCCACTGCCAATGCAACCCTCACCTGGTCTCCAGTCTTCTTGCCAAATCTTAATTTATTTCACAACAGCACATTATCTAATACCTACCCTCATTAGGGTGCAGACTCATAAAAACTTAACTACAAAAGCTTTTAAAATGTTTATTCGTATTAAGTAGGTGGAATGGTGCAAGAGTGCAAAGAAACTTAGGCATCTGGGCCCTT